AACATACCTAAATCCTTCATTTTAAAATATTGCTCCATTTGTTTAGCAAATTCTTTTACAAAATTTAAAGAACCAGTAGCAAGACAGAAATCATCAACATAAGTAAAAAGTACTGTATAATCTTCTCCAGTTCCTCTAGTATACACACATGGATCAGCTAATGATTTCTTGAAACTAATTTCCAACAAAACTTTATCTAAACATTGATGCCAACATCTTCCAGCTTGTTTCAATCCATACAGTGCTTTATGCAACTTATAGACTTTTTGGGAATTACCACAAATGTAACCTGGTGCTTGTTTCATGTATACAGTTTCAGGAAGCTCAGCATTCAAATAAGCTCTATCCACATCAAAATGATGAACAATCATGTCTCTTTGTGCAGCTAAGGCCAAAATTACATGCAATGACTCAGGCCTAACTGTAGGTGCCTATGTGAGATTATAATTCACAAACTGCTCTTGTGAATATCCTTGTGCCACTAATCTAGCTTTAAACTGAACAGTATCATCAGGTAAAATGATACTTCTTTTCCATCTGGAACCTATGGCCTTTTGTGATGGAGGTAAATCAGTAACTTCAAAAACATTTTGCTTTATTAATGCTTCAAATTCATTATCCATAGCAACATTCCATTTCTCTTGTTCATCTATAGGCAAACTTAAAACTTTGTTAAAACATTGAGGCTCACGTGTAATTTGACACACTCTTGTTGAATTACAAATTTCTCAGGCGGAACCCCCTTTGTTGTCTGGGTAGACCTACGAGAAATTTCAATAACACTTTCCTCCTCTCCCTCTTTTTTCTGCTTTAACTCAGTTAACTCTGTTAACTCCCCCCCTTGGCTCTGCACTTGTTTTGGTGAAATTTCTTCTTTTTTCATTTGAGCAGGCTCTTTGAGGACTTGTGGAGATGTGGGTGCAGAAGGTGTTTGTTCTCTAGGTAATTCTGTGTTTGAATGCAAAATAACCTCTGAATTTGCGTGCAGCCTTTTCCAATCAGTAGGCTCTTCAAA